CAATTACGACGAATGTGACCTACGTCACCACAATTCCAACATCTGGGCTCACGTTTCTTCGGCATCGTGTTACGAACTACTTTTCGTACCATTTCTTCCAGACGTTCATCGTTTGGTTCGTCGCCTTCTTCAATGGTTCTTACTCGATGGCTCCGTGAAGTTTGACTAGCTGTTTCATGTTCTAAAGCAATAGCGAGCGCTTCATCTAGAACTTTCGGTCTTGCTAGTCGTAAAGCTTTCTGCAATTCACTTTCTTTTAACCCATTGACGAAGGTATCTACAGCGATTTCTTCCAAAATGTTGTCTGGTACCTCAGGATAAGCCAACCGCACTATACGAGCAACATCTGCTTCAAACTCTTGCAAATTTTCACTTGCTCGTTGAACTCTACTTCTTAGTTGCGCCTTATAGACTTGTTGTAGATGAGCATCTCCGTAACGTTTGTCTAGTCGAGTGAACAATGTCTGGTAACATTTTTCTTGACCCTTAGGAATCGATCTTAGGATATCTGCAGCATCACCTCGTAAAGCAGCAGTCAAGGAAACAGCTTTTTCTTGTTCTGTCCAATGATTGGCTGTTGCAATAGCTTCAAATTGTCTAAGGTATATGGACCAAGAGGACTTTCCATCAAATGGTGGCAATTTGAATCTCATGTGATGTGTCGTTTCGTCTCTCGGTGATTCTTCTTTTACTACCGGATCTAAGGCTACTTTATTAACTGGTGGTAGCACTTTTGTGTTAGTTATCATTATTTCTAATTGTTTGATCTTCTCTTCTACGTCTTCTATCTTGTCGTTTACATTTTTCTGTATCTTATCGAATGTTCTTGAGACTTCTTCAAATTTCTCATTGTTTTGGTTACATACTTCGTCGAATCTTCTAGACATATTTTCAAATTTCTCGTCATTTTGTCTAGCTATTTCTTTAATAATTTGAGACGTTTCATCGAATCTTTCATCATTCTTTCGAGAAGATTCTTCAATCTTCATTAAAACTGCTTCTTCTGCTGATTGAAAATGGAATGTCTCTGGGTCATCTCCATTCTTGTTAAGAACATTCTTTAGTCGTTCTTGGAGGATCTTCTTGGACCCGCTGCAGTCTTCATCGCGTTCTTCAAGTTGCTCACGCAACTGTTTTACTGAAAGTTGTACTAGCAGCATCTTTGGTCAGGCACACACGTACTTTTTAAATGTTCTTTCGTACAACGATCACTACTGAACTACGCGGATGTTCCCGACGAACAATACTTTTCAAAAGTTCAAAAGTCTTTTTCAAAAGTCACTGTTGACTATTTTCAAATCTCACACCGGACACCACTGTAGCGAGATTAAATAAAACGAGCGGTTCGAATTTATATAAATATATTTATTTATAACTTTACAGTTCGGTACTCTCTTATCAACAACTAACTCCTACACCGTTACATATATATACCAAAGTATTATTTTCGAGAATATTCGGGAGTAGTCCCACCTCTAATTCGTTATCTGAAGGGTGGAATTTTACAGCGCTTGATGTATCGCCGACACTTCTCGATGCTTCGAGATGTGACCGTAAGGCGGGCCACTTAGATGCGGTGAGCTGTTGAATGCATGTTCGTAACAATATTAACAACTATTGGAGGCAATAGTTGTTAATATCTTCAACTATAACATTCAACTATAGCAAGTTATCGGAAAGCAAAAACGTAAAAAATGAAGTTCAGACTGGTACGATGAGGAATGCGCACAAGCAACGCAAAGAAAAAATCAGACATATCGAAGACTCCAACGGCGAAGAACGAGACAAACAGAGGAAGAGTATAGGCAGCTGAGACGAGAAGAAAAAGGAATGCTTAATAAAAGAAGAAAGAGCATATTGAGAGCGAACTAAAAGAACTAGAGAACCGGAACAGGGGAGATCATTGGTGATCAGGACCAGATACTAGAAAGATGGGCAGAAAACTTCGAGGAAAGGCAGGATATAAGAGATGAGACAGTGCTCTACGAATCAGAAATCCAACTCGAGGACATTGACGATGAAAGAGAGAAAGATAACATCCCAACAGAGGTAGAAGTCATCCCAGCTATACAGAAATTATGGCAAAAAAAAACTGACATACTGTATATGTAGACTGGTAGAACTGATCTGGAAGCAAATAAAGTTGCCAAAAGACTGGAATGTAGGTATAATTGTACCTATCCACAAGAACGGAGATCAAAATAATATGTGACAACTACAGAGGAATAACCATCCTAAACGTAAGATACAAAAAATTGGCATATATTCTTTACGACCGACTATCGGGATACTGTGAAGACATAATAGGTAAATATCAGTGTGGGTTTCGCAAAGAGAAATCAACGACCGATTAAATATTCCTTCTAAGCCAAGCTCTGGAAAAAACATAATATGAGTATGGCATTGATACTCATCACCTGTTTGTTGATTTTAGATGTGCCTATGATAGTGTTGAAAGAAACTCACTGTACAAGGCTATGATAGAATTCAGCATACCAGTACACTTAGTAAAATTGGCGAAAGTGACCCTCTCAAGAGTCGAGTGTAAAGTTAGAGTGCAGAACGGAGTTTACCGAACGTTCCAGTCTCAGATATGACTTAGACAAGGAGACAGCCTATCATGCCTTCTATTCAATATTGCACTAGAGAAAGCGATAAGAGAATCTGGAATAACAACCAGAGGAACTATTATTAATCGCAGCGTACAATTACTAGCCTAAGCCGATGACATCGACATTATTGCAAGAAGAAAGGCAGACGTGGTCGAATCATTCAATGCGCTGGAAGCAGCAACAAAAAAAAAGAATGGGACTAGAGGTTCACTAGTAAGACGAAGTATATCAAAGTATCAAATTATATACAAGCAGCACAACCCGAAGACGGGTTGACGTAGACGCTATAATTTCGAACTTTACCGCCTGTATGACAAACCTGATATTATTAGGTCCATCAAAATAAACCTACTGCGGTGGTTATGTCACATAGAGAGAATGAATGAGATGGAGCCGCCAAAACATATTTATAACCAGATGTAGTGAGAAGGAGAGCCAGACCCAGAGCACGATTTAAGGATCAGGTGGAGAATGACTTGAGAATGTTGGGAGTACGAAACTGGAGAGCCAAGAAGAAGAGGAGAAAATGGAGACTTTTCTTGGGCAGGCTAAGACCCACCATTTGTTGTGGAGCCAATGATGATGATGAATGGTTTGTTTGAACTAACTGTTTTTCTTACATGATTGTAATTTTGAATATCTGCATTTGTTTTTCTTTATACCGTAATTTAAAAATCGATTAAAGAAACTAAGGTTAAGTATATGTTTTATAACCATTAAATATGGCATACTATAATCCGGACTCCTCGATAATCCGAAAAGGGTCTTGTTTTTGCCTCTCAGGATTAACGAGGCGCTACTGTAATTGCATTAAAATGCCAATGCCAAAAGAAATTAAGCTTCACAACAATTATATAATATTAAGAAAACAGGATATCCAAACCTGAAAACTATAGAGGAATTGCAGTTACTAGTAGTATTAGCAGAATATATGGAAAAATAATAAAAAATCGAATAGAAGAATACCAAGATATGGAAGCCGAAGAACAGGTTGGTTCTCGTGCAGGTCGATCTACAATAGACCATGTCTTCTCTATTACTCAGAAAATTGAAAAGAAAGTTGCTCCTGGCCAAGAAGTCCACCTGACGTTCATAGACTTTAGGAAAGCATATGATAGTGTCCCGCTTGATAAATTATGGGGCGGAACTGGGGAAAACAAATATAAATATAGAATTGATTGAAGCGGTAAAAACGTTGTACTACCAACAAACAACGAGAATTAAAACAGGAAATTTGATAACACCGGGATTCAAAGTGACTAAAGGACTAACACAAGGATGCTGTATATACCCAACATTATTTAAAATATACTTCGAAGCAGCACTCAACAAATGGAAGAAAAAATGTACGAATATGGGCTTATCACTAATGGACTTAACTTTGTACACTCTGTGCTTTGCGGATGACTAGGTCATCATCGCACAGGACTCTGAAGACCTTAGTTACATGATGCGAAAACTATTAGAAGAGTTTACAGAGTGGGGTTTGGAAGTGAATATGGAAAAAATGAGTACATGAGTATCGGAGAAAATCAACATAAGCTTGTCTTAGAGGAAAATCAAGACATCAAACTATGTGACGACTACAAATACCTAGGAGTAAAGATCACTCAGGACGAAAAATTAGATGCAGTCATTAAAGAACGAAATATACAGGGAAGGAAAGGCATAGCCGTACTGAACAGCGTACTATGGGACAAAGACATCTCTAAGGAAAATAAAAGAGGAATATACAACACCATAATAACAAGTATCACAACATATGGATGCGAAGTGTGGCACCTAAAAGACAGAACAGAGAAAATGCTTGGAGCAACAGAAATTGACTTATGAGGGAAAGAGAACTGGAGGACGATCTATGGAACGATAAAATGAGATGGAGATTGGAAATCGAAAGACGTCGAAGAACGTTATAAACCGACATTATATATAGAAAAGAGGATGTAACAGTATTGAATATTTTCGATAGGACATAACCTTACAATGATTAGAAGAAAAATTTGATTAAAACTCTTCAAACCTGATCTTCAAAATGTGTATAACGGTACTGACATTTGAAGGAGAACTGCTGATCACGACACCAAGAACAGCGTAGAGGACCTAAGTAGCTTAAAAGGTAACAAAGCGTGCGATGTTGGGCCATTCTTCAGAAAACAAGATCTCAAAATGGAAGATACGGCAAAGATCATGAGTGGTTGATGCTTTTAGGGAATAGCAACACCAAAATGGAATTAAGCAGGCTACGTGTTTAGAATGATGATTAACAGAGACAAAACGGACACTGGAGAGGAGACACGATGAACTGCCTGGACAAAATTGCCTACTAATTCTATTAATTGTCTAGTAATACTAGTTCTACTCTAAATTAATATATATTAACAAACTCACCTCATTCGATAGGTCGTCTCCGTTAACAACGTCATCTTTGAAGACAACTGGCAAGTTTGACATCTCAACAACAGGAATCCCTAATTGATTAACAGACTCAGCTAAAGGTATACTCTCAATTTTCACTACCTCTCTGATAACTTCCTTAGTTTCTCGAATTTCTTTGACTTCCTTAACTATTTTGATTTCTCTGATAATCTCTTTGGTCACTTCTTTAGGTTTCTCTAAAGGATTCATAGGTGGTACCTCTGGTTCTTCGGAGAGATCATAAGCAGGTGTGCTGTGACTCTTGTCCAGCTTGCCTCTGAGCTTGGTTGTAGCACTTCGAGGTGGTACTGCCGGTTTAACTTTACCTTCGGGTTTAGGTGGTACTTCTGGGGACTTTTTTATTTGGGTACGAGGTAGTATTACTGGTTTTTTCGGTGTGTTTAACTTTTGTTCATCGAATTTTTTGATAATGCTATGAATATTTATTTCAGAAAGAATGGGGTCTTTAATCGCGGTTGAAGTAGATTTATTTTCATTTTTATCATTGATAGATTTAATATCATTCGATTCAATTCTCGTATTTTCATCTTTTTCTGGTATGACAGATAACTCTTCTTTAGTCATTTCTTCTTGTATTAGCACAACTCTTGGTTTCTCTTCTACGATCGTCTTATTTTTAATTGTGTCTATTATTTCATCGACTATTTCTTTTTTCCAGTAGTCTAGAGTCATGCTTGTGCGATCAGTCAATTCTCTTCCTGATACATAAAATTTAAAAGGTTTAACTTTTTTTATATCTAGAACTAAAAAAAAGAGCTACGTTTAAAAACAAAATAGTGTAAAAAATATTTCCAATACCACCAAGAAGCCTTTCAGAAGTTGCACCAATACCATGTGCGGTGATTTTTAGCACTATTCCTGTGAAGTTTCCTATATCTTGTGTGCTATGGCAAGATGATTTTTGGTTAGTAAAAGAAGAATAGTTTGAAGAAGAAGAATAAGAATATAGTACAGTAATCTAGATTATTTTGACTAAGTCGATAACTTAGTATACAGTTGATGGAAAATTCAGGTTCAATTTAATGCAATTTTTTCAGGAATGGACAATAAAAGAAATAATGAATTTAAAAGGGTTAAAAACCCAGTGGTTAGCTGTATACCATAGTTTAAAACAACTTAGAAAGAAGTAAAAACTTTCTTTTAAAATGATCCAAAATTGATTTATAAATTTTCTGAATGTTTTCGATCCTATCAGATCATCATGAAATAGACAAATTAAAGAATGAATAATGAAATAAATAAATGACTGTTCAAATGTGTTAAAAGAAATTCTGGATGAAGACCGACGTATACTGGTCAATAGTAGAAAAAAGAAAGGAATGTTTAAAGGCACTCTGGATCTAGATTGATTCAAACTGTTCAGAAACGAAAAATCTTCAAATATGTCGAAAGATATCTTGGATCAAGATGGAGGCAAATATTTTATTGAAAGATAAATCGAAGAAATAAAGAAATGTTCGAAGATATATAAATTCTAGAAGATAGAACTTTGTAGGCAACTCTAAACATCTTGGTATTTGCAAGACCTATGTCTCGAAAGCATTAATCTTTCTTTTCCTGGTTTCGGCTGTGTTGGATAATAAATATTAACGGTAAATATTAGCTCTTTCACAATTCTTTTGATGGTCTGATTCCACAACTTTTACAGTTGACGCTAGTTTCATTCGCTGTGCTCGGCAGTATTATAATATTAAGAGGCACATTACTCCAGTCTTCAGAGACGAAAATGCCACTGAACTTCTAAAAATCATACGAACAAGTTAAATTTTGCCGAAAATATTAATTTAAGGACGATAAAAAAAGATGCAAAAAAGTTAACCACTTTTACCTTTTACCAACGGGATTTCCACTAAACCCCATCCCCATAGAGGGGGAAAACAGGACAAAATCGATTGACCAAGCATTTTTTGTGTGGAATTAACCATTCTATGGGATGTAAGGGATAGTGATGCGCAACTTATAGCTTCTCCGATACAAATGTCAACCTCACCTGTGTAATGGTATTTATTCTGACTATTCGGTGCATCCTGCCAGATAAACGAGGCTCTGACGCCCGAGAGATTGCCGGTATAAGCAGTCAACCCACTTACTGGCCAACGGCTTCAGGCGGATGACCTGGTAAGTGGCAGGGCATTCCTTTGTCCTAGGGTTGGGAAACTGGTCCTAAAGGCGGATGAGCCAAGACATTAGCCAACGGCATAAGAATACAGAAGGCAACGGGAAACCACTGTATTAAAGATTGATTAAGGATCGTGAAGTGCGATCGTTTGTAATGAAAAAGTTAAAATTCTGCGTTTTTAGTCATATTTCAAGTGCTTCATAGTTGTTGCCAAGAATCAAAATAGAATTTTCTTATTATAGGTTTTGAAGATTGGTATCTAACAATGGAAATGTCACTAAGGCCGGCCAATAAAAGCAATAAATATTATTAATCTAACGAGGATCGTGAAGTGCGATCGTTTGTAATGAAAAAGTTAAAATTCTGCGTTTTTAGTCATACTTCAAGTGCTTCACAGTTGTTGCCAAGAATCAAAATAGAATTTTCTTATTATAGGTTTTGAAGATTGGTATCTAACAATGGAAATGTCACTAAGGCCGGCCAATAAAAGCAATAAATATTATTAATCTAACGAGGATCGTGAAGTGCGATCGTTTGTAATGAAAAAGTTAAAATTCTGCGTTTTTAGTCATATTTCAAGTGCTTCATAGTTGTTGCCAAGAATCAAAATAGAATTTTCTTATTATAGGTTTTGAAGATTGGTATCTAACAATGGAAATGTCACTAAGGCCGGCCAATAAAAGCAATAAATATTATTAATCTAACGAGGATCGTGAAGTGCGATCGTTTGTAATGAAAAAGTTAAAATTCTGCGTTTTTAGTCATACTTCAAGTGCTTCACAGTTGTTGCCAAGAATCAAAATAGAATTTTCTTATTATAGGTTTTGAAGATTGGTATCTAACAATGAAAATTTCACTAAGACCGGCCAATAAAAGTAATAAATATTATTATTCTGACGAGAATCGTAAAAATGGTAAAAATTGCGCAAAGTTTATTTATTGAACAGTTTTATAGAAACTGACTTCATTTGCGGCAAAATACAAAAATTGTATACGAAAGCTGCACTCTTCACTATTAAAACTCATTTCAATTTTTGTCGACAGGACACTTTGATCAAAAGATATTAAAAATTTAATTAAAAATCCTTTGTAATAGGTATATATTTAAGGCCCAAACGGGCTAAGTTAAAAAGACATAACGTTTTCGGAAACCATGTTCCATCATCAGTGTCCTAGAAAATAGTTAACCACTTAATTAAAAAGAACAGGTTAAAATTTTGACTAAGGTTAATGAAAAATGTGGTTAATACTTACTAGGAGTACATGAATGTAGCCACCAAGATTAAATATATGGGTAAAAACCCGTTAACAGATGTTTAATTACATTTAGTTTTAAAAATACGTTATAATAATTTAAGATTATAGAGTTACCGATGGATTAGGTAACATGGCGACATATGACTCCACGTTGAAGTTGCTAGTCCTGAGACGGTATGTCTTCGAGGACTGTATGAGTGCAACTGATTGGCATTGACATTTAATGACAATATTGTTAAGTTATGACGGAAATTATCACAGAGCAGTCAATGTAGCTGTATGTTTCTACTTAAGACAAAAGCCAACGTTATTTAAAATTGTGAAAATTAAGTAAACTAATATAACAGTATCAACCATCAATGTTGTAGTTTTAAATTTATGTAAATAAGATGATATAAGGGAGCAAAAATTGTATGGTTGTAGTTAGGCAACCAACTATACATGTATGTAGCAATGTAATATAGAAAAAAAATTTTTTTATTATATGGCCCTTTATGTTTCTTAAACATTTGGTACCCAAAGTTTTTATGTTTAAGAAACATAAAGGGCCATATAATAAAAATTTTTTTTTTCTATATTACATTGCTACATACATGTATAGTTGGTTGCCTAACTACAACCATACAATTTTTGCTCCCTTATATCATCTTACTTACATAAATTTAAAACTACAACATTGATGGCTGATACTGTTATATTAGTTTACTTAATTTTCACAATTTTAAATAACGTTGGCTTTTGTCTTAAGTAGAAACATACAGCTACATTGACTGCTCTGTGATAATTTCCGTCATAACTTAACAATATTGTCATTAAATGTCATTGCCAATCAGTTGTACTCATACAGTCCTCGAAGACATACCGTCTCAGGACTAGCAACTTCAACGTGGAGTCATATGTCGCCATGTTACCTAATCCATCGGTAACTCTATAATCTTAAATTATTATAACGTATTTTTAAAACTAAATGTAATTAAACATCTGTTAACGGGTTTTTACCCATATATTTAATTTTGGTGGCTACATTCATGTACTCCTAGTAAGTATTAACCACATTTTTCATTAACCTTAGTCAAAATTTTAACCTATGTTCTTTTTAATTAAGTGGTTAACTATTTTCTAGGACACTGATGATGGAACATGGTTTCCGAAAACGTTATGTCTTTTTAACTTAGCCCGTTTGGGCCTTAAATATATACCTATTACAAAGGATTTTTAATTAAATTTTTAATACATGGTATACAGCCAACTACAGGAACGTAGATTCCTTGTGAACAAAAGATATTACTTTTTTACCGTCGAGTTAATACAAATTTTATTTAACATTGATTTCGCGCGCGCATCTGACATTCAGAATCACCGGTCGCTTCAAGCGTTGTATCTGAGGGAACGGTTCATTCTACGCAAAAAGTGCTAATAAACATTTTTGTTCAAAATTATCTCAGTTCTTTTATTTAAAACATTTTTATCTACGGCGTACAGATTCTTGGTCAATTAATTTTTTGCTTTTTTAACCCCCTATGAGGCGGTTTTATGGGAAAGCCCAGAGGTTAAAGTAGTAAACTATTTTGCATATTCTTTGGGGTACCAAAATTAATATTCTCGGCAAAATTCAGCTTGTTCGTATGATTTTTAGAGGTCAAATTCCTAACAACTGGACTAGACATATCAGTCTTCATTTAATTTAGAAATGAGAAATTATTAATATCTATCATTGATAATCCATTATAATTAATGAAAACTACAATGGAACATTTTTTGTTAAAAAGTGATACGGAAAGGAGAAAGTAGTATGGCAAGAAGTTAATAAAGTACATGAATTAAAGAAACCAAAAGAATTAAACATGGTTTTAAAAGAACTTTAGAAATAGTGAGATATAGGCAGATTGTGTGAACTTATAAAATTAAAACATGATATGAAAGAAAGAAAAATAAATGATACATGGGTGCATGCTATAAACCTTGGATATTAAACAAAATTTGGAACAGTAAAGAATTATTGTTCTCAACGGACTTCGTGTTTGATTAGATCCAGTGCATTTGCAGTAAAGTTATTTATTTTTATTAAACAACATAAAATCACCTATCGGAGTAAAAACTACCACTAATTTTGGACAAACTTTTTATCAGCTCTAAAGGTAACTCGGACATATTCAATGTGGATAAATAAGTACAGTTGAGCGACTCTTTTTCGCAAAGAAGGATAACTTTCAACAGCTTTATTCAACGACATCCTCTATGACGAGAATTAAAGCAATATTTTTCGGGAAGAAAGAAGGCTTGTTAAGCTTATCAATTTGAAATGTTTATATTTGTTTACGTTATTTGTTTGGGATAAATACCCATATTGTGGAATCCTAACGCATTTATAGATTAATTCAACAGTCTCGTTAACATAGGGATCTTTTCTTCATTAACTAATTTGAAGATGAATGACTGAATATTTGCTTGGTTAAATCAATACTACCAATGCACTGTTCTATTCTAGGATTATCATCAACATAAAGAAGACATAACAACACAAAAATTTCAAACTCTACTGTTCTTTTTATAGTTTATTTAATAATGTCTCCTTTAGTAACAAATAAAATGCAGTAAATTAGTTATAAACAATCACCAGTATTATAAAATATCAATCTTAATATCAAAACTTCTTACCTTCGTCAATGAACGAAATATTCTCATTGTTTAAACTCGCCAAACTGGCAACACTAATACTTTTCTCGGTATCCAAATTGGAAGGACCCAGCAATTTTTCCTCTTTGTGTTTCTTATCGAGTTCCTCTTCTTGCTTTTTCTCCTTTTTATCTTCGACCTTCTTCTCCTCCTGGAAATTCACTTTCTTTTTGTGCGATTTTTCTTTGGCGGGATTCTTCCGATGTGCCGAACTGTTCGTATGTGCCAAACCGATGACGGTGGTTGGTCGAGGAGTTAAGTCTAAACCTACGTTACAGGAAGCACTTTTGTCTCTCAAAAACTTGGAATCTTCTTCGAACTTGGAACTGTCAATGTTGTAAGTACTGGAATGGGAATTGTTCGTGCGCGATTTGATGAAATCCCAATACTGAAACAAAGTAATGCCATTATTTAATAAAAGGTACTGTTAATTTTTGATTCACAAATCAGTCATTGGCGCTATATACCAATCTTCCGAAGGATTGGGGTACAACGATTTTTTGATAACGATGCATCCGAATATGGTATTAGATTTGCATTAACTTGTAGATGGCGTCATATACGAAGGCATTCTAGTTGTCCGTAAACAAAAGATCGGGTTTTCAGTCGGGAAGACCGATTTCAACCAATCTTGTGGAAACAAGATTGGTTGAAACGGAATCTACAGGTGGGCAAGAATATAATATCCCACCATTGTATTCTTTTAGATTGAACTGATGAAGCTTGTAAATACAATAAGCGAAACGTTTTCAAATATAGGAATGGAACTGTGATTTCCTTTTATTATTTCTCCTTTGAACGATATCCTCGTGATCAAAAGATTTATTTTTTTGGAACTTACTCATTGAATAATGGTTTGACGGTCGTACTCCTTTATATATATATATATAAGACATGCAATTAAAAACTCAAAGGAAAATGAAAGTTGAGCTTCATTTTAAAAGACAGAAAAATCCCAGACAAAAAATACACTTAAATCGAAAAACCTATGGCAATAACAATTAAGAGTAACTCAACGGGCCATGGAAAGGGCCATGTTAAATTTAAGCCTCAGAGACAAAACACCGAAATACGTCGAAGAACTAAAGTAACCGACATCATGGGAAAAATAGCGACATTGAGATGGCAATGGGTAGCACATGTAGCAAGGCAAGACACCAACAAATGGTCCCATAAAGTGGCACTCTGGAGACCTCGAGAAACAAAAAGAAGCGTGGGAATACCCAAAACGAGATTAATAGACAAAATAACAGCTGTAGCTGGAAAGTACTGGATGATAATGGCAAAAGATAGAGAAAGTGGAAGCAATTAAAGGAGGCGTATGTCCAACAATGGATAAATGGAGGCTGAAGAAGAAGAAGAAGACTTTAGAAGTTACTGCATTAAGGTAAACTTCAATATTAAACTTGTGGGAGTGAGTGAAGTAGAATTGCTTGTTTTTTGTTTGGAAATTTATTTGTAGGTTGATTAATAGCTGTCGAATATAATTTTGATGGTTGGTTTATAATATGGTTGATATTGATATACAACAAATTATGTTGGTTGGTTTGATGTTTGGGCTAAATAACCTGAATGCGGCTCTTGTGTTTATAATGGATCATTACCGGATGGACTGGTAATTAACCTCACGCCAAATCGGCAAAATAGTTGTTTACCCTTGATTTGTTATATATGAAGTAGGAAAATCAAACTTACAGTTTTTAGTCCAGAAGAAGTAACACTTTTACACTGCACCTTTAAATTTTAGATATAAACAAAATTATACATTTGAGTCAAACAAATATTAAATATCAATTATCACTAATTGTTTACTGTTCGTAGGTTCGAACGAGAATCTTCTTGTTTAATCCTACTTGTTTTTTTTTAAGAACAAATATTATAAACAAATATTTGGCCCTCCTATGGGAGCCAGCATCTCCCCAATTCTGGCTACATATGTAATGGACGATCTGTTGGATATGTTGTTCCGTTTAACGTTCCTTTTATTAGAAAGTATGTTGATGACATTACTATGTCCTGTCCACTAGTGTTAGAGACTCAGCTCTTAGACATTTTCAATAGCTATAAGCCCCACATTCAATTTACTCTTAAAAAAAAGGATCAAAACCGATATGTTCCTTTTCTTAACACAATGTTGACTAGAGAACTGGATAACATCATTACAATTGATTCGAATAAAAAAAAGTGTAACCCTGGGAGATGTCTCAACTACTATTCTTACCACAAGTCAAGCATGAAAGTTAATTTAGTAAAACAAATGACCACAAGAGTTTGTAAATTGACTGTCGTTCGACCAACGTTCTATCGTTTTAAGTTAATAATAATTAATCATTCACAACCAATTGTTTTGTTTATGATTAAGTATATGTTTGTATAACCTAGAATTTTTATAATATGACTAAATTTTCTGTGATGATCTTATAATATAATTTTACTTAAATGTTTGTGTGCAAAAGTTTTTTTTAAATAGGTATTTTGCGAAAATCTCGTTTAAAAAAACAATTTTTTGGATAGTTTTCGCTATTGTTTGTAGGAATCAGATGAGTTTATTCCATTTTTTTAACATCATTACAACTAACCTCAATCTTTTACACATTTCGCATAGCACAAAGGATACAGAAAATGATATTATCATATCGTTTCGTTCACGGCCGCCAAAGCAGGGGCGCCTTTGTAAGCTAACTACGCTGTAGTGAAGTTTTGGGAGACATTCGTTGGACTTTCCTAGTTTGAATTTGTATCAGCCCAAGTGTCTGATGGGGCTAGAATAGGCCGAAATGATCATAACACTTTATTGATACCGATTCGAGCACGGGAAGTTTAGCGAATTTGTCCTCCTAGGCCATATATTTGGCCATTTAATATAATAAAGCGAAAGCGGATTTCGCTAAAAGATTTAAATATATATATATATATATATATATATATATATATATATATATATATATTTATATATATATATATATATATATATATATATATATATATATATATATATATATATATATATATATATTATGAATTTAACTCTAGAAAATATATTCAGCAAAATGAACTGGCAAAACAAAGGCCTATGCATTGATGGAGAATACCTCAACCATCTAAGATTTGCAGACGACATCGTTCTAATTGCTAAAAATCCTGCAGAACTACAAGAACTTATAAGCGACCTAAATGCAGCTAGCAATGAAGTTGGCCTAAAAATGAACTTGACAAAAACAAAAACCATGTACAACGAGCTAGTGGATGTCCAAGATGTAATAATAAATAATACTGCACTGGAGACAGTAGACGAGTATATATACCTGGGACAATTAATACATAAATCTGGCTCATTACTCCCAGAAATCAACAGAAGAATGAAACTGGCTTGGGCAGCTTTTGGTAAAAATTCAGTTATATTCAAATCTAGGATGCCACTCCACCTGAAGAAAAAGGCATTCGATCAATGTATACTACCAGTCATGACATACGGCTGCGAAACTTGGACACTAAAGAAAGATATAATAGCTAAACTCAAAGTCACTCAAAGGTCAATGGAGCGATGCATGTTAGGTATAACCAAGAGAGATCGAAAAAGAATAGAATGGATCAGACAGAAAACGAAGGTCACTGATGTAATCCACCGAATAAAATCTTTAAAATGGCAGTGGGCGGGACATTTAGCAAGAAGAACTGACAATAGATGGTCCACTAGAATTACTCTGTGGTACCCAAGAGACGTCAAGAGACCAAGAAGACGTCCAAATTTAAGATGGGACTATGACATGAGGAAACAAGCCCGTACAACATGGCACAGAAAAGAGAATATTAGACAGTCGTGGGCAGACATGAAGAACGACTATGTAAGGGAGGCTGCACCATAATTGGTAGAATACGCTGATAATGATGATGATGATATTATGAATTTAGTTCTTGAACCTTAATATATATTTTTTAGTGGATTCTCTTGGGTTTAGGTTCATAAAAAAAATTTAGTTTGATACTGACATTTTTATATATTTTTTTCCGACGTTTCGGCAGGAAATCCATGCCTTTTTCAAGAATATATATTGACTAAAAAAAACATTTAAAAAGTATTTTACATGCTTGGTAAGTCAAAAGTTTATTTTTTAAACCGTATTATGTCTGTCATGAAATGTTTTTTTTTTATTCAATACATATTCTTGAAAAAGGCATGGATTTCCTGCCGAAACGTCGGAAAAAATATATAAAAATATCTTAGTATCAAACTAATTTTTTTTTATGAACCTAAGCCCAAGAGAATCCACTAAAGTATATATATATGTATATATATATATATATATATATATATATATATATATATATATATATATATATAAAATCAGCAAAATCTCCAGATCTCAATTCTATAGAGTATGAGTGCGAAAAACTTGTGCGTGTAAGAAAAAATTGACATTCATGTCAATATGACATACATAAATACCACATGCGAACATTGACAATATTATTTTGACTATAAACAATAGATGAGAAGCTGCAATAAACCAAAGTAGAGATCTTACTTTGTATGTTTTTAAATATTAATTAAAAAAAAGTATTTTACACATTTATTATTAGTTAAAATTAATATTAGTTTTTTAATAAACAAATTATAGAAAAATACTCACAATCATGTAGATTACGCTACACAGTTTCCATAAAATTCTTTTAACCTACCCCACTTCTTACAACAAATGATTTTAATCATCTACATAATTCTAGATCCGAAAGTGATAAAAAATACATTGAACTTTCGTAATATCTATTATCTAATATTTATTAGGTAATTTACTTTAGCATGAAAATTAAAAAATATTTATTTTACAGGTTAAAATTCATTAAAACCTTTCCCGGAAAGTAGTTCTATCAGTTTATTTAATTTAAAGTTGTTTGTGTGATATACTTTTGAATCCAAATCGGTTATTTACATAAGCGTAGATAAATCCCTATCACTACCGAACTGCTGATTGATTGAGTGCACCTTGCGGTAGTTGTTAAGTAACAAAAAGGCGGTAGTAATTTCGGTTGTTCGAAAAAGTTGTATATAAAGTTGTTCCTTAAAAGTTAAGAATATTGTGAGAAAGCATTTAAATCATATTAATTTTTCAAATTTAAATGGACCAATAATTCTTCATTATGAAATAAAATCAAATTGGTAGATGCGTTTTAGCGAATAATGTCAAAACCCAAAATTTCGTAAACAATACACAATAAACAGTTCAAAGCAGGCCGGTGCACCTTGGTTAACATCTATACATAAATTTTTTTTAGAAACTTTACTTCAGTGATCCAAGAAATTGATCACTGAAGCCATCGAAAATACTAATCCTAAAGACAAAACAGCTAAGAAAAAACATTTGATGACTGAAGAGACTCTCAATCTTG